GGATGGCTTCGGATACCGCGCGGCCAGTACTCACCCAAGCCCGCGGCTCCCGACGCGCCTGGGACCGGAAGAGAAAGAGGAGGCCGCGGTGCAGCACGGGAAATACGGCCGTGGAGGCCGGAAGGTACCACGGAGAAAGCTTCCCCAGCGCCGGGAAGAAAGGTTCCTAAGGCCGCGAGGGCACGAGTCGGAGGGGAAGGCGGTGCTACGACCTGGCCCCGCCCTTTTCAAGCTCCCCCGGCCCCCCCAGTCCTATTCGAGCTCTTGGGCCCCGGTCTCTTGAAAGACTGAAGGCGAATGGAGTCCTTGAGGAACATGTTAGGCAGGAAGGGGCAGGTTTTTGTTCTTAAAAAGCACCCCCGGCTACTGCGTGGAGAGTGGACTGTGGGGCCAGAGGAGAGCAGGGAGGGCCGAGCGGAGGCGGGTGCAGGGCACCGTGGGAGAGCGGGGGCGCCTGTTCCCGCTCCCGGGGTGCGCACGGCGGAGGGAAGGAAGGAGAGAGTAGACTGGACTGGGGGCGCTGCAGATGGGGAAGGGGACGGAGGCTGGAATGTGCGCCTGTGGGCCACACGGGGGCAGCATTGGAACAAGGATAGAGGGGGCCCTGCGGAGATAGGGACCTCCTGCGGGGGCGCCCTGGGACCCTCCCAGACTTCGCACCTCCCGTTTCTCACACCCATCCCCTCACCCCCCTACCTAAGCATCCAGCCCCTGCCTACCCATCCTCAGTTGGTTTTCTGGGGTAGATTGGGTCTCCCCTGGCTTCAGGCGCTTGGTAGTGGTGGTGGTGTGGGAAGGGGGGCGTCTTTCCCCAGAAAGGATTCAGGACAGAGAGCGTGGGGCCTGTGGTCCATCTCTAACTGGAGGGGAGAAAGCACCAGAAGATGCAGAACAGCCCAGCCAGCTGGCTCAGCGGTTGAGCACCGACCTAGGATCCAGGAGACCCCGGTTCAATTCCCAGTCAGGGCACATGCGGGGTTGCAGGCTTGATCCCCAGTAGGGGGCGTGCAGGAGGCAGCTGATCAATGCCTCTCTCATTGATGTTTCTCTCTCTCTCTCTCTCTGCCTCTCTCTCTCCCCCTTCCTCTCTCTGAAGTCAATAAAAACATATTTTAAAAAGACAAATATGCAGAACAGAGAGGGGCTAACAAGGTCAGGAGCCTCTGAGGGTTGGAAGAGGGACCTGGAAGCCTTACTGGGAGAGGAGGCATGTAGCTGGGCTTGAAGGCAGGAGGTGGGGAGGGGATTGGGAGCATACAGTGGGCTGGAGGGGCAAAGGCTGGCATTTGATCCCCATGGCTCTCTGGCACCAGACTACAGCTGATCACTATACCCCCAAAGCCCCAGAGGCCTGGTGGGCAGTGGGTGTCCTCCTTCCCAGCACACAGACATTAAATCCTGAGGTCAGAGGAGGAAGGGGCATCCCGCTAGGGCCTGGAGCCGGAAACCTCTGCATCGGTCGTCGCTGTTCCTTGCCATACCCTCAGATTGGCCTCACTTGTTAAGCCCATGTTGCATATCAGGACACTGAGGTTCAGAAAAGTGAAGTGACCTGTCTGGGGTCATCCAGCTTCTCCTCTGCCAAAGCCACTCTCAGAAGCTCTTCTGGGTCTGCACTCAGCCTGAGACTCAGGCTGTTGCCAGGAAGAGAAGGCCGACCCCTCACTTGAGGAGGGACCCTCTGGTGAAGTGTGCTCTGGCATCCGTGGCAGGTGGCAGTGGGGGGGGGCTACCTCATCCCCAGCAATAGACAGTGGTCACCCTGCCTTTCTGTGTCCGCCCCTCACTTGTTCATTGGTCGTCATCTTCTTTAGTACTGTGGGTCCATCCACTGGCAGAGGCTGGAGAGCATGTCCAGGTCCTGCCTTGACACTGGGGGGCAGTGATTCAGTCCCCACCTGTAAGAGGGGAACGAGGGCACTACCTACTTGGTGGCTTGTGCCCAGGCTCAAGGGACCTGTTCAGGCCAAGCACTTACCAGAGCCTGGCCCATGGTCTCTGTCCCACCAGCAGCCCTCCTGGCACAAGGCTTGAACCAGCCAGAAGGCCAGGCAGGCCATATGGGGTCCTTTCCCCCTCCCCAAATGTCTTGAGGCTGCCCATCCCTAAGTTGCCCTGCCCACAGGGGGATGGCAGAGCGGGGTGGCCAGGGGATGCCCTCCTCACTATGGACAGGGATGGCAGGGCCAGGGCCAGGACGGGGCAGGCCCAGGAGTGGCCAGAAGAGGGCAGGCCGAGGAGTGGCCGGTGAGCGTGGCAGTGAGGGGCATGTGGGGACCCCGGCTACTCCGCCCTGCCCGGCCCCTGCGGGAGCCAGCCGCTGAGAGGCCCGGGTGCGGGCTCAGCCGTCCCAGCGCCGGCTGCCCGCCTGGCACGCGGCCCTGGCAGCGCAGGTTGAATCTATTGTTTTCCGCAAGCAGCTCCTGGAGGCGCGGGGGCGGCTTCCCCTTGACTTGCGCCTCCTGGAGGATGCGGCTGGGCTAAAAATAACTGGGATTGCTGTGCCCCGGGCCTGGCGCGGGGCGGGGCGGGGGCGGAGCCCGGGG